CTTCGTAGTAAGGCCGTGTATATAAAGAGGTGGAAGACACTACTTTCCTGGGCAAGCATTCGCTGAAGTCTTGGTTGCTCTTCTTCCCGACAAGCTTCCCACCATGGCGCGCTTCGCTCAACTCGCCGCCGTTCTGGCCGCTGCTTCGCTAGCCAATGCTCGCGCGCCGTTCATCAAGGAGCGCCAAGTGCCCGCTGACCCTACCGGCGTCACGACCATTACTTCTGCTGCTGGTGCTAAGATCACGTACAAGCAGCCTGGCAAGGCGGGTGTGTGCGAGACCACCGAGGGTGTCGACGACTATGCTGGTTACATCAGCCTCAACCCGACGACGAACATGTTCTTCTGGTTCTTTGAGGCTCGCGAGAACCCTTCTGAGAAGCCATTGGTAAGTACTGTGTTCGTGAAGCGTTACTACAATGTGTACTAATTATATTGTCAGACCTTGTGGTTGAACGGAGGACCCGGAAGTGACTCTCTCATTGGTCTGTTCCAGGAACATGGCCCTTGCAACGTTACCGAGGACCTGAAGACACAGCTAAACCCTTACTCGTGGAATGAGCGCAGCAACATGCTGTACCTTTCACAGCCCGTGGGTGTCGGCTTTTCCTACGAAACCACCGAGACAGATGAGGATGGCCGCTACTCGCTCGTCGACCCAGACACTGCAAACACCACCGATGCTGCAGCCATTGGTGCATGGCACATTCTCCAGGCTTTCTTGGAGCTGAGCCCACAGCTCGACCCCGATATCACCAACTTCACCTTCAACCTCTGGACTGAGAGGTAGGTCATGTGATTGTCCAGAGATGATCGCAATGCTGACAATGTCCCCAGTTACGGAGGTCACTACGGCCCAGGCTTCTACAACTACTTCTACCAACAGAACCAGAAGATCAAGAACGGCTCATGTGCCGGTGTCGAAGTCGAGATGGACACTCTCGGTGTCATTAACGGTATAATCGACGAGCAGATCCAGGCGCCCTACTACCCCGAATTTGCCGTCAACAACACCTACGGCATCAAGGCCGTCAACGACACCGTCTACACCTTCATGAAGAACGCCTACTACATGCCCGAAGGCTGCCACGACCAAATCGAATACTGCAAGCAATCCGACCGCACCACCGAAGCCGGCTACCTCACCTGCGCGCAAGCCACCAACCTCTGCCGGTCCCTCGTCGAAGAGCCCTACTACGCCTTCGGCGGCCGCGGCGTCTACGACATCCGCCACCCCTACGACGACCCCACGCCCCCGGACTACTTCGAAGACTTCCTCAACATGGCCTCCACCCAAGAAGCTATCGGCGTAAACATCAACTACACGAGCACCAACGCGCCCAACGTGTCCTACGGCTTCTCCACCACGGGCGACTTCGTTTTCCCCAACTTCCTCGAAGACCTCGAGGAGATCCTCAGCTACGGCGTGCGCGTCGCCCTCCTCTACGGCGACGCAGACTACATCTGCAACTGGTTCGGCGGCGAAGCCGTCTCCCTCGCTGTCAACTACACAGACTCTGAAGCTTTCCGCGCTGCGGGCTACACTCCCTTCCTTGTTGATGGCGTTGAGTATGGTGAGGTGCGCGAGTATGGTAATTTCTCGTTTACTAGGATTTATGAAGCGGGGCATGAGGTGCCGTATTACCAGCCTGTGGCTAGTTTGGAACATTTTAAGAGGGTGCTGGATCATGTTGTTATTGCGGATGGAAGTCAGGTTGTTACGGACGACTACAGCACGAATGGTACTGCGGAGGCTACTCATACTGAGGAATTTGTGCCGTTGCCGCCGACTAGTACGCCGAGTGCTAGTGCTGTTAGTAGGGTTAAGAGGAACGTGGTTTAGATAGGTCGTGGTTGCCATGTGAATGGATGAATGTAATTACGCATAATAATGTGGTTCCTTAATGGCTTGCTTTGAGTAGATAGGCTTTAACGGAACGACTGTGGAAAGGTCTCTTTTCCGGAGTCTATCAGTATATTCATCGATACGGAGTCACAGACATAAGATAGTTTGACCTGTTCACGTGACGTATGAGCTTAACGACCGCCAGCGTGCCAGTTTTGTATGCTCGGAATATTCACATGGATCTGCAGAAATGCTGTGCTGCTTTAATTTACTTAGGAAATCCGAGATCTGATCTTTCTTTCTTATGAACCTGCATCACGTCCAGGAAACCCCATGCCAAAATCCACGTGACAATGCATCGTTTGGCAGCAGTTGGCCCAATGAAGATGTCAGTGATAACAGTCCTACTTTGAGTCTGAATGTCGGTTCGCTAGTCGTATGATGGCATGAAGCGTATCATCAGACTTGTCACTTCAGCACCACAGTCTCTTGTTCCATACCCTGCCAACAATGCTGGATACCGTAAAAGCCATGCACGTACGCAGCTCCGATGAACTCAAGATCAGGCCCACTATCTTTCGATCTAAGCACGTATCCAACACTTCCGCCACCTTCAAGAAAGTACACCGCATCGCCCTGCTCTGTGTCCGGTGGTACAAGTAAGAAGTATCCGGTCTGCGTGACTGCGATGCATCTACCAATCGATGCGTATGGAAGTGTTGTTGCGAGCCAGTCATTGAACCATAGCAATGCCATATTTCCCTGTCTAGAGAAGAGGAATGACCGACTTCGGCGTTGACGATGGTACGGGCTACATTGCCATCTCTCTTGCGCGCGATGATTCGTTGAGAATGGCATAAGAACGTCTGTCGATTTCAATCGCGGGTGACGTCCGACTCGTATCCAGAAATCGCCGATCGTATGTGGATCTACGCGTACACCTCTGGGCCATTGTTCATGACGAAATGGTAAAGCAGTGATCTCTGAAGCCGATCCGCCAGTGTATAGATCAGCCCACTCCTCGAAGCGGGTGGTATCAGGCAAGTGTAGTGTGGCATCCCAGACGGAGCTGATCGTTTCAATCGTGTCTAGCTTGTACCCTTGCAGTGTGATCGTTCTTCCATCTGCACTGAACGACGCTACTGGACACTGATTACTAGTTCTTCGAAGTGGCGGCATCCACGATTTGTCAGGCCATATGTTATCGTGAAACTGGGATCTGTAGTGTATAGGATTCGATATACGCTGTATGGGAAAAGGTCTTTGAGCAGTCCAGTCAGGTACCCAAGAAGGCAGACCGAGTATGTTTGGCGTTGCGTCTTTGTAGCAAAGGATTTCCAAGGAACGTTCGGTCTCGATGCTGTAGCGCGCTGCTCTTAAGTAGACTTCGACTGCAGGCAGTGTATAGTCGACGTCTAACAGCCACGCGAATTCAGCTTGCGCAGTACTTGTATCCAGCAAGTTCAGTAATGAGAACACTTTGTCACGAGGATCAGTAGCCAGACAGAAGCGGCTGTCTTGAAGAACCTCGGTTAGCCGTGGCTCCAACCACAAGAAGAAAAGAGTGCACAACCACTTGTAGATACTTGCCAGCATCCCATATCCCCCATACCGATCCAGACATGAAACAGACGAGATGCCTGAGACGTCCATAGCTGTCCAAGTTGTTACAATTAATTCATGTTGGCGAACGGAAAGGGGCAACTGGAAGAAGCTGAACTTCTGCCCGGGAGAGTAAGCACCAAACCAGCTGACAGTCCAGGACAGCTTGTCCCATGACATATTGTTCCCCTTGTAGTACACAATGATCTTTGACGTGTTGGACATATTGATCTCTTGCAAGATCCAAACTCTTCGAAACCATGGATGAGCGAATAGGACCTGGAATTCTCTCATGGTATCGCTGACATTGGAATCGGAAGCTTTCAGTAGTTCACAAAAGAGCTTCCAAGTACTCAAAGCTGTCGCGGGCTGCTCTGGTCCCTCCGCTGAGCCTAGAAAGACAACCGTCCTCGTCGCATGCTTGTACACAAGGTGCATGATCGTCACCTGACTGTTGCGCTCTTGGATATCTTCTTGGTTGATACAAAGCTGGTCAATCCAAAGTATGCGTTTCTTATCTGGATAGCGCATGACTCGGAGGGCTTCCCGGAGGTTGCTGGTAACGCGAAGAAAGGAGCCGTCGCACTCGACACGATGGCATCGATCTGGTAATCCCCATGTGTATGACAGCGCTTCATATGAAACACGCTGGTTGATCGCTATGTGGCGCAGACTGCAAAGTACATCATCTTCCTTGTTGCCTGGCAGAAGGTGAAGTACTCGTATCTGTGTAGGCGGCGAAGCGGTGCTGCCACCAAAGCTTTTGTAGACGTATGGCTCCATGCGATGCTGCAATGGGTATTCGGGTTTGCGAATATGGCCATACTGACAACCAGGCTGAACGAACAAAGTGAAGGTTGGGGGCCAACGCCTAGGCGCTCATGCCGAGCTATGTGGCTTCCTATCTTTCAGCCAGCTGCTCCCACACACATCGCACAGGCTTTATATCTGCTCCTCTTATCTTGCTGCTCTTTTGCCTAGCAGATTCGCTATTAACAACTTTCGGAGGTTTCTTCGCGACAGCGACGAAGCGCGTAGCCGTTCTTAGCATGGTGCGCGAGCCCGTCTGGGCATGACGTCACATGTCGCGAAGCTACGCCGCACTCTCGCTGCACGCTTCCTGCTTCAGCCACCATCACCATCACAAATCGAGTCGCTATGCATGCGCACTCAATGGAAAGAGTACCACTCCGAGAGAACGTATGCCGTACACGCAAGTCGATTTCAACGCCCTTGACATGAGAGGTTACTCACGCGTAACGTTCGCGCATTCGCTGCACGACCACGCGTCAAACGCGTCTCAAAAGCCTTCAGTCACCTGCAGATAGTCATGTATTGTGACGCCAAGCTCACAACGCTACATGCATATGCAACTCGCGCCACCAACAATGGTATTCAAACGCCAGCTCAAGCCTTGGAACGTCACCGTTGAGTCGAGAATCAAGATGTAGTGAGGCTGTGTCGGCCCCCAACAAGATGTCGCACTCCCCATGCTTTCTGAGACCCCTCGCCTCTGGGGCTACATGCGACGGTCGTACGGCGCTTAGACAGCATGTACAAGCAGCTGCAAGGTCAAGAAGATCCGACCGGATATGCACGCAGGGCAGGAAGGTCCCCAAGGTACGAGTCCACTTTGTGTGACAACGAGTAGTACAGGCTGACAAGATGGCAATAGGGCCGCATCCACGGATGCCAAGCAGTACGAGAACTCTACAATCGAAGGCGAATCGGATATACCGAACTCGAAGCCTCCTACCTACGAGCTGGTCAACGACAAAGCATACCACGATGACGACTTTCTCATGCTGGCAAGAACGCCGGAGCCTAGCTGTCCCGTCCCTACGAAGAAGCGCTTCTTTACAGGATGGCGCATGGGTGCGCTCGCATCGGCTATCTGCGCCATCTTGGTGTTCAGCATGAACCTCGCGCTCACAATCTGGGTCTGGAAGAACCCCGATTACGAGCACGCAAATGGCGTCGGGACATTATTTCAAGGCAGCTGCTCTACTGTTAGAGAAGTGAACGTCTACGTCCACTTGGTCGTGAACATACTCAGTACCTTGTTGCTGTGCAGCTCGAACTACTGCCAACAGATCCTTGCCGCGCCGAATCGAGAAGAGCTGGGGCGTGCGCACGCACGGCGAAACTGGCTGCACATCGGCGTTCCTAACCTCCGCAATCTATGGCATGTTGGAAGGGATCGTCCGTGTTGTGGATTTTGTTGTTTCTCTCGTCTGTACCGCTACATTTGTTGTTCAACTCCGTTGTCTTCACAAACCTGCAGGCAAATGAGTATGCTGTCATACCGACGACGCCTGACTGGGTGATGTTTACGCAAGGCGTTTACGACACCTCGAGCTTTCTGGATATCAGCACGAACGCAACAGAAGTGATCTCCTCAACAATTAGGGGCCAATATAGATTCGACCCCTCTGATGCGGTCGCGTTGAGGAATGGCAGCTCGATGCCCAAATACAGGAACGTCAGCACATCCGAATGTCTTGAAACATACGGTACCCAGTATGTCTCGGCAGTTGGGAATTTGTACTTGATCCAAGCAAGCCCAACGGTTCTGCGGAACGCTACTGCCTGGGTCGGTCGACGTTGTCGGAACGGCTTTTTCGAATGGGTTCCTAGAACACCAGAGACGATAGAAGAGGACCGCAAGAACGATACATATGTTACCGAAGCTCCAAACCAACATCTCCCGTTCATAAGTACGCCATCTATTTATCCGTCTAACGGGTGGCGCTGTCTTCCTCATCCTCCAGAAAAGTGTGAGTAAGCCCAGTATTCGCCACCTGCGAAGATGGTGTATTGACTAGACTTGACACAGGCGACCCTAACGATGAGACCGCGATTCCAAGCAATCGATCAGCGTGGCAGCCATTCGAAGTACCCGTGGCCTACTGCACTATCGAACAAGTCGAAGAGTTTTGCAAGCTGCAATTCAGTTTTACCATCGCCATAGCGGTTATCGTGGCCAACTTTTTCAAAGCGGTTTCCATGATATTGTTGCTTTGCCTGTATTGGGATCATGGCGCGCTTGTAACCATAGGAGATGCGATCGCGGCATTTCTCGAAGATCCGGATCTCGAAACCTACGGTAGTTGCCTGCACACTAAACGAGACGTCGGTCTCCGATGGAACTGGAACGAATACGCTAGCATTTCGAAAGTAGCACTCAGCAGTGAGCCGACGAGGTTCACAATGAGAAAAAGGAGGTGGGCTAGAGCTCCGAGCACCATGCGATGGTGGCTGACGTACTCTACGTAAGTCGTGTGCAAGCCGTTTCCGGCCATCCACTCACCTCTCCAGATACACTATCAGTGCTGGGCTCGGTGGACTCTGCATAGCACTTTCCTTGGAAGGCATGCCCAAAGACCCTGTAAAACTGTGGAAGACAGGGTTTGCGACAGTCAACGGCAACAATCTCCTGGACTTCAGCACATCACTGATTCCGGGCGTGCTTTTGGCGAATACACCTCAACTAGTCCTCTCATACTTGTATATCGCGCTAAATGCTCTCTACACAAACATGTTCGTCGCAGCGGAGTGGGCAAGCTACGTCAAAACACAGAAATCACTCCGCGTTACATCGCCCACTGGCTTCCAACGCGACTCGTACTGGCTCAACGTACCCTTTCGCTACGCTATTCCCATGACCATCATGTCAGGTCTCTTCCACTGGCTCGCATCACAAAGCATATTCAAAGTACAAATCTCCATCACAGACATGCACACGCGCAAAGCCGCTAGCGAAGTCTCAACATGTGGCTATTCCCCCGTCGCGATCATCCTGACTACGGTCGTTGGTTTCACGATCGCAGCTGGCGGTCTCGTCATCAGCAGGTTCTGGTATCCAGCTGGTATACCCCTAGCTAGTAGCTGTTCTGCTGCTATTAGCGCGGCGTGTCATGCGCCACTGGAAGATGTCAACGCCAGTCTTTTACCGGTACAGTGGGGTGCTGTTACACATGGGAAAGCGGGCGAGGATGGGGAGGAGCCGATCGGCCATTGCTGTTTTACGAGCTTCCCGGTTGAGATGCCTATCCCGGGGCGGTTGTACGCATGAAGTGTATGAGTAACGCGAATCTCTCTACGCCGTCGCAGCTCTAATAGCAGCAGGAACATCACAACGATCAATCTACATTAAAGCAGACAAAGAACGGTCAAGCTAATGATATAGCGCTCATGTTAACGCTAATTCTATCCGAGCGCAGCGCCTTTCTCATCTGTATCTATCGACTATCCACTCCGGGCCCTTTGCGACCATGCCACCTTCTACCAAGATATTGATCGCGTTACTAGAGCTCCTTACCGAATGGTCATCAGTCTTTTGCTTCGCGCACCGCTGCTATTTCGCGTCCCCGAACTCCCTGCTCATAGACTATTGTGACTTGTTCCACCATGCCCCGAACTTGGAGATCAGTCAATGAACTTGTTTCCCCTTGTTGGCGTAATCTCGCCAAGACATGGTCCTCGAGAAACGGCGCATTGATAAGTATTCGAAAGTTGGTCGGTAGCGCGACTGCACCGGTGTGTTCGTCTCGACAATCTCCCAAGAAGGTCTGAGCGCTTGGTATCCAAAACGCTTTCTCTCTCTCAGATAGCGTAAGAAGAGATTCGCCAGTAATGACGAGTTCCACAGCTACCATCCACATCAACGCCAACCCTTGCCGATGCGCCTCACTTGATCGTAGGTCGTACGCCCACTGAACCTCACACAACGGATGGCTTCTGCTATACGCCACCCATGCATTCAGGGAATGCTGAAACCTATCTTGGCACGGCCAGTAAATCCTGACCGATGGCATACCGTCCAACTTGCTGTGGTATGGAACCTGAATGGACAGTCTTCGAATGTGTCCAAGGCGATACACGTCATAGTCCAGACCCCTGACGAAGCGACACAGTATTCGGTGATGCATTAGTAGTCGCTGAGCGTTGTCATCGACGTGGACTATGTTGAGTTTCAATGGGAGCTTTTGCGTCTCTGCGCGGACTTGGTGACATGTGAGTTCGAGGGGGTTCGTGATGCGGCCATCAGCGGCGTTGCTTGGGCGGAGTGTTATGGGCGTGAAACATCGTGTCGAAGGTATCAATGACAGCCCATCTTCGTAGTAGAGAGCGTATTCATATATCATGGTGCGCAGCTCTAATGGTAGGTCAAGAAGCTGTGAAGGGCCCGTTGGTTCTGGCAAGGGCGAATTCCTTGTTGGCCATGATACCGAGGAAATGTAACCGCCCATGGTGATGGTCAAGAGTCGGAGGTTGGGAATGCGCGCTGGTGAGATCGAAGGGTTGAGAAGGGTTCTTATCTCTCGAGAGGAGTAATCGGTCGACCAAGAAGCGTAGGAGCCTTGACTGTCGCCACTCCCAAAATCACCGCTACTGTGAATGACTGCCAGACCGTGAAAGATCATGATCTCGGTGCGTGAAAGCTAAAGCCTGGTCGCCGAGCGTACAAATGAGGCTCTGCTCCATCGCTGTATTTCTACAACCACACAAGACTGCTCCACCAGTCTCAACTACCCACCCAACGAACGTACACCACAACTATGACTTCAAGTCACGAGCAGCCCCTGCGATTCCGAAGCCACCCAGCCGATACCCCAGACCCCAGCGGCGTATGCCACTATCTTAAACTACCTCGGGAAATACGAGACATCATCCACACGTACGCTTTGACATACGAAGATGGCCTAGTTGCTACTTCAGAACCCACCCGAAATGGCCCCGGGCATTTCCGATGGTCGCCGAGTCTCCAGCCTTTCCAGTACAGTGAGCGACCTGCCGAGGACTACGACGGCACCATTTTCAAACCCGGTGATGTCAATCCTCTTCGTTTAGTCTGCCACCAGACAAGCGCTGAAACACGCGGGCTTTTGTTGAGCTCGAATGACATTTCCTTCTCTTTAATACCACAAGGAAATAGTCGCTGGCTCGATAAGGATTATGAGAGGATATTCAAGGACTTCTACGACGAGTGCAGTCTAATCAACCGAAATCGCCTGCGCAAAATGACCGTTCACATGTCTACAGACAGAGTCAGAAGATCAAGCATAGTAAGCATAGACGGAACTCGCGAAATTCTCAACTGGTATACCTGGAAATTCTCCCTCCACGACAACATCTCCATTATTCTCCGCTTCAACATGGACTGCGCCCACTGCTTCATGAGGAACGTCGTCGACCCGGAACACTACATCAAGGAAACCCGCATGTGGAGTCTGCTGCGCCACGAAAAATTCCCTGATCGGCCTGGAGCGGTGGGCGGGTGCCACATGCACACGTTGCCGATTCTCAAATGGCCTGTACCGTTTGCGCATAATGTGCGTTTCTCGATCTTGCATGAGTTTCCGGAAGATGTTGTCAGGGCGCAGTGGAGGGCGGCTTGTGGGAAGTGTGCCGAGTCTGGTCGGAAGGACGCGATTTGTACCTGTGTTGAGGGTATAGCGGGCTCACGGAGGGTGTTTGAGGAGGGCTTGTAGGCTGCGGTGGGGTGTTGCGTGGAATAAGCGTATGGCGGCGATAGCCGTTCAATGTTCATGTCTTCTTGGTCTCCTTCTATTTTGTTCGTTTGCCATAGAAGCTTTGATTATCTTTTTATATGTACCGTTTCGTAATGACACTTGCAATACCATGATTGCACGGTGTTCCGCAACATGCCTACTAAAGTCTATATCCCGAAAACGTCTCGTTCCTCCCACGACTACGCCGCCGCGCTATTCTCCGCCAATACCCCATTCGCCGTAGCCAGCTCCCCCATCGCCTTTCCACTCACGTTCTGCTTACTCTTAAAGTACTGCGTGAAATCATGTCGAACCTGATGTATGGTCTCTGCAACACTCTTCCCCCACACCGGATCATCACTCGCCCTCTCACACATCTTGAAGAACTCCTTCCTCTTCTCCTCGTGCTCGGGGTCCCAGAGGCGGTGGAAATTTTCGCGCGACATGGGGTCGATCATTTCGCGCCAGATCTTGATGCGGATCTCAGAGTACTTGTCGAGGATGGAGTCGTCGAGTTCGTCGAGGTGGATACCGGTGAAGCAGTCGTAGAGGGAGCCTACGTCGGCGAATCCGCCCGTGAGGCCCATGCCGCCGCTGATGTTGTGTTAGTTGAGTGCGCTCATCATAAACTGGTATACATACAATGGATTGCACAGATGCGCTGCGTCGGCGACTAGTATAATTCGGCCTATGCGGAAGCTGGGCGCGCATCTTTGTTGGAGTTTGTAGGGGCTCATGCTCTTGAGCTTGTACTCATGGGGCTTGGGGTGACCGGGTAGGATTTGCTCGTAGCGGAGGGGTTGGCGTTTTACGAGCTCTTCTTTTGAGAGGCCTTCCGAGTCGCCGTATGTCACTCGCCAGAGGCCATCGTTGGTGATCTTTGCGGCCATGTACCAATCCGTGGGGTGGACGATGAAGTTTGAATCCCACCAGTCGAATTTCTCGTCGAAAGGTAGGTAGACATTGGTAGCGACAATCTGCGCCTTGAGCGTCTCCCCTGGATATTCCTTCCCGAACAACGCTGTGCGCACACCACTTGATGCGCCATCAGCACCAACTAGATAATCGCCTGTAATCTTCTTCTTCTCGCCGTCAATTGTCTCGACAACCGCGGTCGCGCTGTTGTCGTTTTGCTCCACGCCGGTCAATTTGTGGCCCCACTTGATCTCGGTGTTCGGGTAGCTTTCAAAATGCTTCACAAGTAGGGGGCCTAATTGATCGAGCGGTAGCACAACCATTGCGTATTTTGAGTCTTCTGGCTCGCGGCCCATGCCACCTAGAAGGGTTCCATCCTGCAAGCGCCAGCATACACCTCTAGGGTGCAGCCCTACGGCACGTACATCGTCTATGATACCTGCGCGATGGAAGTCATAGACTGCTGAAGGCGCATAATGAGCAGCCCGCGGGTTGTCGTTGATCTTGGTGTCCGCATCGAGGATGGTAACTTTGATGCTGAGGTTCTTCGCTAGAAGAATTCCAAGCAACAGACCGGAAGGGCCAGCTCCTACGATGACGACCTATCGGTGTTAGCGACATGCACATGCAAGCCATCACGGAGGAACATACGTGATTAATCTTCGGCATTGTGACAGATTTGGTCTACTGCATACAGATGATGAAGAAGTATATCTCAACCACATGTCATCCTTTAAGAAACTCAGATGACATGTCCATTATGGTGGGGCTGTCACATCCCCGCCTCCAAACTTCTCCATGCCATCTCGCAGAGTGTCGGCTGAGCTGCAGCTGGCAGGTGCGGGGAACGAGTCGACTGCCCCACATCCATGGATGGTAATCGGCACCGGGACATCGTGGGACCGCCCGGACCGGCACTCGTGCACGTGATGCGCTGAGTAATGATAGCCGTGATAGTGGAGCAAAGGGTCTTGGAGCCGCAACAATGCTTCCTGCAGGGCTGGTGGATCGTGAGGTACCTAGGTATGACGTAAGGAAGAGCACGCGTCTCCCCTGATGATCACAACAATGGCGCGCGCCTGAGCCCGGCAGTAGACAAGCAACCGTTGCTATAGCGAGTGCGTCTTACGAAGATGGTGACGAAGACATTGCGATACACAAAAGAAGTGTTGGGACGACGTGGCCCACGCTATCGACACCTGGAGGTCGCGAACCTTGTGGAGAGTGGAGATAAGTCGTAGTGGTGGCAGGTGGTGAGATCCTAACAGAATTAGAACGCACCACCCGCGCGCGACGTCATGATCATGGCGTATCGTCGTGTCCGTCACACCCAAACGCCCTAGCATGTGACGATGCGAGCGACACCGAAACATGCGCTCCGACTTCTCTCGCGGCGCATTGTTGTTGGGACCGTGAGATGCGCAGGGACTCCCGGGCTCGCGAAATAAGCTTTACCGGCCTTTCAGAGAATTTGAGCCGCAAGTTTGCGCTCGTTCGCCACCAACGCGACCACACCCAAATCCAACACCATGCGACGACCTAGGCAATCTATCCATCGCTATCGTGTTCAACGCATTCCTTTTCAGTGCGCCTCCGCTGCCATGACTCAACCGTGTGATGAACCTAGGCGCTGGTTAATTCTCGA